TCTCTCTCTTTCTTCGTGGAACCTCTCCTTAGCTTCTACTGATCTATCATCCTTGGAATCTTTCTTACCTTCTTTATTCTCTACCTTTGTATACTCCCCACCTTTTCCTTGGGATTCTTGTTGCTTTCCTTTCATAGAACTCTCATTATTTTCCTTAGTCTCAAATGATTTCTTGTCCTTAGAATCTTTCTTACCTTCTTTGTCATCTATCTTACTATGGTCCCCATTATTGCTTCTTTGTGTCTCTTCTCGGTTTTCCTTCATGAAACTTTCCTTATTATCTTGATCTTGCAATGATTTATCGTCTTTAAGCTCTTTCTTATATCCTTTGTTATCAACCTTCTTAGATTCCTTTTTGTTTCCTTGAACCTTTTCTTGGTTTTCTTCCTTTGAACTTCCCTCATTTTCCTTAGCTTTTACCGAGTTATCGTCTTTAGACTCTCCGCTATTTCTTTGAGCCTTCTCTCCCTTTTCTTTCATGGAACTTCTAGCTTTTTCCTTATCCTTTGACGACTTATCGTCCTTAGACTCATTCTTTCCTCCTTTAGTTTCTACTTTCGTGGACTCTCCATTATTTCCTTGACCCTCCTCTTTCTTTTCACCCGTAGAAAAATCTGCATTTTGTTGAGTCTCTACCGACTTATTGTCCTTCAACTCTTTTTCACCTCCTCCACCATTCTCTTGAGCCTGATCTTCTCCCTTCTCCTTAATGGAACTTCCACCATTTTCTCTGGCCTCTACTTCCGACTTAGCTTCTTCTTTACTGTCCAAATTGGTATCCTTACTCGAGTTTTCAGAATGTTCTCCTTGAACATCTGCGCCGTTTTCCTTATTAGAATCTACATTTCTCTCTTCTCCTTGAGCTCCTTGTTTCTTTTCTTCCATGGAAGTTTCATTATGCGTCCTGGCCTCTACTGATCCATTTTCCTTCAATTCTTGTTTATTCTCTACGTTATCATCATTCACTGATTCTCCATTGTTTCCTTGAACTTCTTCCGTATTTTCCTTCATATGATCGCCATTATTTTCCATAGCCTCTACCGATTGACCATCCTTAGTCTCTTCGTGAGCGTTCTCCATGTTCTGATCTTTTGTTGAATTTCCATCGTTCACTTGAGCCTCTTCTTGCTTCTCCTTCGCCAAATTTTTTTCATTTTCATCATCCTTTACTTCCGACTTAACATCTTCTTTATTCTCCAAATTTTTATCTTCTGTCGAGTTTCCAGTACTTACTCCTTGAAAATCATTTTTCTTCTCTTCATTAGAATCTGCATTTCCACCTTTGGTATCCATCGTTTCTCCATTCATAGAAACTTCAGTGCTTCCTTGAGTATGTTCTCGCTTTTCTTCCATTGAAACTTCATGATTTGTCTTGGTCTCTACTGATCCAACGTTTTTTAATTCTTTATTATCTTCGTTTTTCATCAAGTTCTCGTCCTTGGCTGATTCTTCATTGTTTTCTTGAGAGCCTTCCCTCTTTTCCTTAGTGTCGTCTGCATCTTTAGACGACTCTTCCCCACTTCCTTTGTTCTCCAAGTTACTATCCATCGTTGAAACTCCTTCGTTTTTAGCCTCTACCTCCGAGTTAGCATCCTCTTTGCTCTCCAAATTCTTTTCAATGGTCGAATTTCCAATGCTTCTTCCTTGAACCTCTACTTGCTTCTCGTTATTAGAGTCTACATTTTCACTTTCACTACCTCCTTCAACATCATTTCTTGAATCTACATTGCTTCCTTTAACACCATCAAGATTTTCTTGCATGGATTCTGAATTTCCTCCATTGGTCTGCACCATGGTTCCATTCATAGAAGCACTGTTTTGTTCAGTAGTACTGCTCTCTTCCCCTGAAGCCACGCTTGAGCCTCCCGATTTAATCTCCACAACAATCTTCACGATTCGGGTAATCGTCACTTCCCATTGAGATACGGCATTTTCGACTGCATTCTTTTGATCCAACGAAAGTGACATTGATCCATCCCCTTTTATATGTTTCTCCAGAATAACTCTACTGATCGCAGCATGTAACTCAGTGAGTGATTTCATCACTTGGAACATCTCCTTCCTTACACTTGAACTCAACTATCATATTCACCAAAAAAAAAAACACACTGATTAGTTCCATAATTCCTTGAGGCATAACTACAAATAATTCACTAGGTTTGTTGTCTAAGACCAGAAAATGGCCTTGTAATTCAGTTTAGGGTTCGGCAGACAAGACTAGAAATTCCAAATGTAAATTTCTGTTTTTTTTTTTTTTTTTTTTGAGAGAGAAGAATTGATATATATTCATAATTATTCAAGTATAATGTTTTTTTTTTTATCAAATATCTTTTGTAGATTGTAAGCGAGAAAAATATCTTGTTTCGGTTCTGCATGTTTACAAAATTTCAAAGGATTTTAATAAAGATAGTAAATGTTATTTTTAAGTTTGAAATAGTGGAATGTTTTTTTTTTTAAGTTTAAAATGATGGAATAACGATTTTTCTATGTAAACAAATAACTTAAAAAGAAAGAAAAGCAATCAATAAGTCATATGTTCACACACAAAAGCACACAGAACATTCAAGAATTTTGTCATTCAAAAGGATGAGATTTTATTTTTGTTTCACGTTAAATACTCACCAGTCCTCTCCCAAGCGTAATCATCGTTTGGAAGAGAGTATCGGCTTTCGATTTCAGATCGAACTTGAACGTTTTGGGCTCGTTGTTCTCGATCAACGGTGTAACAGAGGACTCCAACTTCAAGAGATCCTTTAGCTTATCAAAGAATGATCTTAGTTGTTCTCTTATAGGACAATTGTTCTCCAGCTTCACCACAAACCCGATTGCTCTATTAGAGATGTACGGCTCTATATCTTTAATCGTGTTTGGCGAGCTCACGTCCATCTCGTGTGCTGAAACTAAATTTTGACTTAAACTTGTTGCCAAGATTGTGATGCAACATAAGAACAACAAACGAACCCTTTTCATGATTGATGATGATAATGATGATATAATGATGAGAAGTATGTTCTTGAATCGTTTATATATAATGGAAATGAATCTGCGACAATACTATGTTTAGATTTATGGAATCAATGACTTAGAGAATTGGATGGACTCTTCTTTGAAAAAAATAGCAAACCGAGCTTATTAGTGGTTTTCCCATCTCTTGACATCATGTGGATTTCGAGAACTCGGGAGTAAAACTTAGGTTATAAAATGAAACCCGATCCGGTTTAGGCGGTTTCGGGTGAAAAGACTCGATTTTAAGTCAACCGGTTAGACCCAACCGATGTTTGGGCCAAACCCGTATGATCCAACACAAACTCACAGTCCTGGAGAGAAAGCGAAGTAAAATATCGGAACCGACGAGTGATTATGGCTTTGCCTATGGTCTGCTCTGTTTCTTCTATCCAATCCTCAAACCAATTGCATTGTTTTTCTCTAAGAAAAGGTTAGTCTTTTTTTCTCTTCGATGTTTCTCAGCACCTAAGTTTGCGAATTTCATAATGACATTGGAGTTCATGGATTGGGTTATTGCGAAAATCTGTTTTTTAAGCTTAAGATGCTAATTCTTGCTTCGAATGTAGTTTAATTTCATCTGGGTCTTGTAAATAATGCGGAAAGAATTAGAGTAGTTTCTGTGATTCAATGTAATCTGAAGCTTTCAAAGTTTCTTCATTGTGAGCTATGTTGATAATGCAGAAAAATTGGGACTTTATAGATTACAATCGTGGAGCTCTCATCAGGAGAATCATAGATCGGTTAGACTTGGTAAAAGAGCGTTTCCAAAGAGATTTGCTGTAAAAATGACTGATAGTTCTGCATCCACTTTGCCTCTGAGTATCTGCCGATCAAAGAAAGTTTGGATATGGACTGAGTGCAAAGAGGTCATGACGGTTGCAGTAGAACGCGGGTGGAACACGTTTATCTTCTCATCAGACAATCGAGAAATTTCAGATGAGTGGTCATGTACAATGTCAATGCAGTATTAGAACAACAACAAAAAAAAAAGTCTTTCTTTTGAGGTTACTCGGTTTTGATTCTATGTACTGAGTTTTGCGGTATGCTCAACGGATTTGCAGCGGTTTCCTTGATGGATACATTGTTTATTGATGAGAGGCAAGTTACTGATGTTGCGGGAAAAGTTGTAGCTGCGGTCTTTGAAGTTTCAACACCCGAGGAACTACAGAAGCTTAAGATCGAAAATGAGCAGACGGAAAATATTGTTCTTGATTTCTTATACTGGAAGGTAACTTTCTCAGCTTCAACCACAAACACAGTGTTCTACCTGTTAGTAACATAGAAAAGTTTCGTTTTGCAGTCAATCCCGGCTGAGAATCTAGTGGCGGCTCTCCAAGGAAGTGAGAAAACGGTGTTTGCCGTTTCAAATACTGCCTCCGAAGCAAAACTATACCTCGAGGTAGGTTATAGTTCCTGATGTTGAGATTACATTTTCCATTCGGTTCATAAGAAGTTTGTTCATGTGTTATGCTTGGCTCTAGGCTTTAGAACACGGCCTTGGTGGAATCGTTCTTAAAACCCAAGATGTCGAAGCTGTTCTTGATCTAAAGGTTATCATCTCAACAAGTTTTTGTTAAAAGCATGGTTTCTTATAATCGTTGCTCAAAGAAAACAACTTTTAGGAATACTTTGACAAAAGGAATGAAGAAAGTGATACATTAAGCTTGACGGAAGCTACTATAACTCGGGTTCAAATGGTCGGTATGGGCGACCGAGTCTGTGTTGATCTTTGCAGTCTTATGAGACCCGGTGAAGGCCTTCTTGTATGTTTGCCTGTATACACTCTTTTCTCCAACATGAATCATCATCAATGCTACTTATCTTATAAGCATTTAAATATGAATCCATCTTTTTTTTTGTTTCTTGCAAAGGTTGGATCTTTTGCAAGAGGACTCTTCCTGGTTCACTCGGAATGCATGGAGTCTAATTACATTGCAAGCAGGCCGTTTAGAGTTAACGCTGTGCGTTTTTTTTTTACTCTCATCGAATAAATCAGTTCCTTTTGAAGATTATATCATTCACTCAAAATCTCAAAACTCACAAAAATTTACAGGGACCAGTTCATGCTTATGTTGCTGTTCCAGGTGAAAAGACTTGTTACCTCTCGGAGTTAAGGACAGGAAGAGAGGTAATCGTTGTTGATCAGAAAGGAAAACAGAGGACAGCAGTTGTTGGGCGAGTGAAAATTGAGAAGCGCCCGCTTATCCTCGTGGAGGCTAAGGTACATATATTACATTCTTACTAGCTCTACACTCTAATGAACTGTTAATTAGTATTTCTCGGATGTTTACTCGCTTCATTTCTTGCAGCTTAGTGCAAAGGAGGAGGAAATGAGTTTTAGCATTATCCTACAGAACGTGGAAACAGTTGCATTAGTCACTCCTCATCAAGGTTTCTTGTCTTGAGTCTCATCCTCATTGCAGTTTTGCTACTTGTTTATATCATCAAATGGTTGTTGAAGAATGTGTTTTCTTCTTGCAGTAAACTCATCTCGGGAAACTGCTGTTCCCGTGACCTCGCTGAAACCCGGGGATCAAGTTTTGATCAGGTTACAGGGCGGTGCACGCCATACCGGTATAGAGATTCAGGAATTCATTGTTGAGAATTGATCAAAGACTTTCGGATAACACTGAGACGTATCAAGTAAAAGGTTTCTGCCTATTCATGTCTTGTTTTTATATATGGTCTTGATTGTTTCAGACTTAGCTTTCATGTTTAGTTAGTTACAGACTTTATCCTTATGTTTGCGTTTGACGTTTACGCTTATAACTGACAAATAAATTTTGCAAAGTTGCGAATTCGTTACTAAACGTAAACAAAAACATCAATAGATCGATTTCAGTGAGATATTTGTTGAAAAACATACAATTTATGATATTTGTTGTCTAACAACATGCAATATGCGGATTTCTATCCTACTTGTAACAAAGCAGATAGTATTAACACATGCCACTAAGACATATGGTCATTGTAAAAAATACTACATTTTCATTTCAAATTTTGAGAAACCAAAAATATATGATATGATGAAAACAATAAACTTTGCATTCTATTTATAGACCTAGCTAGCTAACGGGTAATGACCTTTTCTCAAGAAAAACAAAAAAAAAAAACAAGAAAAAAAAAACAAAGTCAAATAAACCCCCCCATGAATCTCTCTTTTGTTTTGTGTTGGTTTTTTCTTTTCCTGTTCTTGTAACCTTTTTAATCTATTTTTAGGCCATATGGGAAAATGTATATATACTCTTCAAAGTCCTCAATTCAAAAACGCACTTCCTTCATATTCCTTTCTCTTTTTAGTTTTTATTTTTCTTTTTTCTTTTTTTTTAATAACTTGCTATCAATACAACCATGGCAAGGATTTCTCTGTTGTTATCATTAGCCTTAGTTCTAACCATTGGCTCCGTCTCGGCTCACCCACCTAGCCACAAGAAAACACAAAAGACCTTGTGTCCACCTACTTTGGCCGGACTCCAAACTTTCCCTTCCCTTGAAATCTCCAAGCTCATCGAGAAGAAGGCACAACTCGCACCAAACACCATTCAATTCAACGCTTTATTCGCCATCTGCAAGGCCTACGGCGACCATCTCGCGGCCTTCAAGGTTGCAGGGGTCAAGAATGTGTTTGACTTGGTTCATGCCAAACACGATTTGATGGCCAAGGCCATGTTTGCAGCGCAAGCATCCGTTGGTGTTAAAGGTGGTCTTGCGGTTAAGCTTGACAAGAGTTACACCGCGATGGCTAAATGTTTTGTTGGTCTTGAGGAGAAGATCGCTGAGATCTCGGCTAAGTATAAGTTCAATGCAGATGCTAAGATAAGCAAGTGTGACAGAGTCAAGATCGACAAATGCTTGATTAAGCTTAAGGCTTCCATTAATGTTTTCGTCAAGGTGGTCACTCAGTGCAGCAAGAAATTCTCTGTTCAGAAGCAAATCGGTGTTCCCGTTATTCCCGGCGGCGGTTTCATCGGAGCTTTCGTCAAGAATGGTCTTGGATTTGGCGGTAAATTCATCGGTTTGGGCGCCCACGGCCAAGTTGAAGCCGGAGTCGGAGGTAAAGCCGGAGCCGGAGTCGGAGTCGGAGGGAAAGCCGGAGCCGGAGTCGGAGGTAAAGCCGGAGTCGGAGCCGGAGTCGGAGTCGGAGGTAAAGCCGGAGCCGGAGTCGGAGTTGGAGGTAAAGCCGGAGCCGGAGTCGGAGTTGGAGGTAAAGCCGGAATCGGTGGTAAAGCCGGAGCCGGAATCAAAGTCGGTGGTAAAGCTGGAGCCGGAGCCGGAGTTGGAGGTAAAGCCGGAGCCGGAGTCGGAGTGAAGCTCGGAGCAGCTGATGCTGGAGTTAAACTCGGAGCTCATGCCGGAGCTAAAGCCGGAGCACACGCCGGAGGTAAGCTTGGAGCTAAAGCAGGAGTTCATGGAGGAGCCAAGGTCGGAGGTAAAGGCGAAGCTAAAGTAGGAGCTCATGCCGGAGGTAAAATTGGAGGATTGATCAATCAATTCTTGGGATTCGATGGAAAAGTTCAGTACGATGCCGCCGGTAAGGCAAAGATCGGCGGAGGAGCCGGATTCAAGTCATTGAGCCACCACGAGAAGCACTTAAACTGAGCTAAAGGCGCAAATTTATGCATTTTTAACAACAGATGAAGGAGCCATGAGTTCATCTTAAATATATTGTTTTTTTTTAATATTTCTACTAATATGAAGGAGGGAAACGCTATGCGATATTTATCTCTATTTGTAACCATTATAAAGAATTGATATCTCTAATCTAATAATATATAGTATCGCATCTTCTCTTGAGTACTAATTTCGTTACTTACCATTGTTATTACACCAACACAAATCTATAGGCACATAATGTTTGAGAACCCTTGTGAGATATCCTCAACGAGGTACCTTGTAACCTACTTTACATGAACACACATCACATATATCATGCTTTATGCATTTTTCCACATCTCATCTGTCCAAGAGTTATACTGTTTTTTTTTTTTTAACTAAGAGGTTCTAAGTTCGAAGGCCCATATACGTTTTCTTGAGCCGAAGCGAGTACTTCAAAGCCTAGGGTTTTACTTATTTATCCATATTGGCACAATCTTAATACTAATTAATCAGACAAAGACAAATCATCTAGTTTGATCGCAAAAGTTCATGCATCATTCATGCGGATCGTTCAAATTTCCGATATTCGGTTTTCAACATTTTGGGTAGACGTCAATGTAATAAAAAAGCATTATTTGTGACTTATGCAATGACGTTAAATTAAGACATCACATGATAAGTTTAGCACGTGTCATGTGAATATGTTACGACCACATCACATGAGCTATAAATATCAGCTTTTCCTCTCCTACTCCACTCTCCACGTTGATCGGCCGGAAAAACAAAATTTAGTAGGCAGCGACGTCATCAAAACTCTTATCCTCTTCTTTTTGTTACTTTGCGTTCAAAAAAAGATTATCCTCTTCAACACACTAATCTGATTTACTCACTAATTGAGGTAAAATAATTATATTTTATCGCTTCACTATCACACACACTATAAAGTCACCTTAAGCACATATGTTTTTATTCAATTTAACAAATAGAAAAGAAAAAAAAAAAGTTCCAACTCAATAATGGAAACTCTTTACCTGATTCTATCTCTCTTCCTCCTCTTCTTCTCTCTCAAACTCATGTTCAGAACACGGCGGCGCAAACTAAACCTACCGCCGAGTCCAGCTCGGTCATTTCCGGTTATCGGACACCTTCACCTCCTAAAGCTGCCGCTCCACCGCAGATTTCTTTCTCTCTCGAAATCATTAGACGGTGCCTCGATTTTCTCTCTCCGTCTCGGCACTCGTCTCGTTTTTGTTGTTTCTTCTCACTCCGTCGCCGAGGAATGTTTCACCAAGAACGACGTCATTTTAGCTAACCGGCCGGAGTTTATCGTCGGGAAACACATCGGATACAACTCAACAACCATGGTCGGTGCGGCTTATGGCGATAGCTGGCGCAACCTCCGTCGTATTGGCACCATTGAGATCTTCTCGTCTCTTAGGCTCAATGGCTTCTTATCCATTCAAAAAGACGAAATCCGACGGCTGATACTCTCTCTATCGAAAAATTCTCAACAAGTATGTGCCACTATACATAAATATATACTTAGTTACGTTTTATTATACTTGTGCAAAATTATAAACAAATCGTCTATTTGGATATAACAGACTACTCTTAGATTTATATGCCAAATAAAAAAATAGAGATATTGAAATTTAAGCATTAGGTTTAATAATTGTAACACAGGAGTTTGCTAAGGTGGATGTGAGATCGTTGTTTATGAGCTTGACTATCAACAACATCCTTAGGATGGTTGCGGGAAAGCGATTTTACGGCGATGGAACAGAGGAAGACGATGAGGCAAGACACGTGAGGCAGTTGATCGCCGAGGTGGTCGTAAGTGGCGGCGCTGGAAATGCTGCTGACTATTTCCCGATCCTTCGTTGGATAACAAATTATGAAAAACGGGTCAAGAACTTGGCGGGTCGGGTCGATGGATTCTTGCAAAGTCTGGTGGACGAGAAGCGTGCGGAGAAAGAAAAGGGTAACACAATGATCGATCACTTGCTCTCTCTCCAAGAAACTCAGCCTGATTACTACACTGATGTCATCATCAAAGGAATCATACTCGTAAGTAATGAGAGAAACATAGTAACATTAGGTAAGGTATTATTATAACTTTAACTGATTTTTAAATTTTGAAAGGTTATGATACTTGCGGGGACTGACACGTCAGCCGGAACGTTAGAATGGGCGCTGTCGAATTTGTTGAACCATCCTGAAGTATTAAAAAAGGCAAGGAGCGAAATCGACGAGCAAATCGGTTTAGACCGGTTAATAGAGGAACAAGACATTGCCAAACTTCCTTATCTGCGGAGCATTATGTCAGAGACTTTACGACTTTATCCTGTGGCTCCAATGCTTCTCCCCCACTTGGCATCAGAAGATTGCATGGTGGCAGGCTATGATGTCCCACGTGGCACGATAATATTGGTGAACGCATGGGCCATACATAGAGACCCAAACACGTGGGAAGAGCCGGAAAAGTTCAAGCCAGAGAGGTTTGACAAGGAAGGTGAGGATAAAAAGTTGATGTCTTTTGGGATTGGACGACGAGCATGTCCTGGTTCAGGGCTAGCTCAGCGGCTCGTGGCTTTGGCTCTGGGTTCGTTGGTCCAGTGTTTTGAATGGGAAAGAGCCGGAGAAGAGCATGCGGACATGAGAGAAAGTGAAAAAGGAACCACGATGCGCAAAGCTACATCGTTGCAAGCTATGTGTAGAGCTCGTCCCATCGTCCATAAGATTTTATATGCTTCTTCTTGTACATAAATTTACACTTCAGAACCTTGTTGTAATTATATTGTCATGTGAACTTTTATTAGATAGATGATATTACACTCGATATTGTTGCTTCTTTTTAGTTATAGCCTTGCAGATTTTGTAATGAGTTAAAGTTCGCTCCATTGGAATTTCTGTTAACTCCAAGCAGCTAAAAAGTAAGGCAATAGTCATAAGTAAATCTTGTAGGAATCACAACATTTATAACAAACGAATAAAGATGATGTATGACAAGATAATATGTAGACAGTGGCTAGAGGCAATAAAAATAAAATGTCTTTTTTGTTGACCTGATATTATTCTCTATCTATTTTAGAGATTATCTAATGATGAAAATTTATTGGATTACACAAATTTGCATGATATTAACACATCAATTAAAAAAAAGAAAAAAAATTAATTCAGAAAATGTCTACAATAATAGACATAAAAAAAACAAAAACGTATACATAAGATTAATATAATTGAATAACAAGAAATAAAGAAGTACAAATACAAACTTAACTATAAAACATAATGTTTTTTAGTTTTTTTGTGTTGTTGGGGATATCTATAAATTTAAATATAAGTTTACAATATTTCCGGTGATAACTTGGAACAAATCCTCGGTTAAAAACTTAAAATGGTTAAAAAATAAAATAAAGGAAGGAAAAAAATATATCAAACTTGGCAAACATTATAAAAAAGGAACTACACAATAGAAATAAACTGAGGAAACTGACTGGAGGAAACTATTTATTTGAATACTGTGATATTTTATTTCGTTTTATTTACTAATTCTTTTAAATTTTGATTATAATTTTCACTTGAAGAGACGAATATTATTTGACTATTGAGCATACTAAAAAAACAAATTAAAAAATTAAAGCCGAATATGTGTATGTATAAATCTTGCAAAGAGAAGGTTCCTAATTGGAGACCGTAGGCACATGTTTCTGATTTTATAAAAACGTGACTGAGCACAGACTATGTAGAAATCTCAGATGCTAGAGAATCTTGGGGTAATTAGTTACTGTCGGACTCGTTTTCTGAATCAACAAGCATTGGCTGGGGGTTCTTGTAATCACTAATCTCATCCTTGTATCGCTTCTTGTCAACTTGTGCCTTCGCTTCATACGGCTCTTTTTCCTCGGCTACGGTTGCATACAAAACAAAGACACAAAATAAAGATCACATACATATGTACATGCTAAGCTAAGACCAAGAAATGTAGTCTTTTTAGGGAAGATTTTCAGTTTTACCAGACATCTGACGCCACTTATCTCCAAGAACCTTCCCCACCTCTCCAAATGCTATTCCTGGGTGAGTCTTCTTTATGTTCTGTTCATTTCATTTCACCAAAATAGAAAATGGTATAAATTAATGTTTTTGGTCGCCACAAAATGCTTCATCTAACGCTTGAGCTCTCAGGGATGCCAAGTTTCTCGGATAAAATAGGATTAGCAACTCAAAAAACGAGAGAACTCACATCTCTTTCCATTTGGGAGAAGAACATGAAACCAGACATTGCCCTCTTTGGTGCATTGGGATCCTTCTTCTTTTTCTGCTTCCTCTTCTTACTACTACCTTCTTCTGTGACTAATGCTTTCTTCTTTGGTGGCAATCCTTTCGACGACGACGAAGCCTCTCTCTTGGGTTCCTTCTTGATCGATTTCTGAAACGAGTCAATTATAGGAATAAAAAAGGAGGAATGTTAAACATATGTTTTCGTTGGTGAAAGACTTTGACTGAAGAATATGAAACAGTTTATTACCTCTTTCTCTCCTCCGCCACCGTCACTACCATCAGAGTCATCCTCGCCAGATTCATCAGTTGGTGAACCACCGTCGTCATCCTCCCCCATAACAAAGTCCTCGTCCTTCATAAATTAAAAGTATCGATTGTCAAAAACGTGATCATCAGAACATGAAGTAATAACTCAGTCAGACATAAAGCACTTGCCTCCTCGTCACTCTCATCAGCAGCTTGGTTTCTGATACGCTCAAGATGAGGGTCAACAGCATCATCATCATCATTATCCCGAAGAACTGCAGCAACACCATCTGTGGTACCCGCACCTCCAAGGTTCATAATCTTCAAACCCTTGCCGCTGCAGCAGGAGAAGATAATGTTTCATTCAACTAACTAAATCCACACTCACTAACTTCAAAAACGTTGATACTGCAATACCCCGTGCTAACCTTATGAAGGAATAGAGATTGTGATACTCATTCCTCTGAATGTTCCGGAACAGATGTTCATGATCAGATTTTAGTCTTATGAGAAGGTCGAAGTAATGCATGTTAGCGCCACCAGCAGCATGCCTTTCAAACTCCACATACTCAATC